CTGTATGCCGCCACCCGCAGTTTTTTTTTGTTTTTTTTTTTTAATGAACTGCGGAATTGAACTCCGTGTTCGGGGGCGCTCATTGAACTCGCGTGCATTCCGTTCAAAAATTGAACGGAAAACCCGTGTTCAATGAACGCGCGGTTTCATAGGTGGAGGGAATGAGAGAGAGAATTTGGGGTCCTTTTTTAAAAACACACACGCACAGATGCACACACACACATGCACACGTGCATGCACACGCACGTCTTCTTCCTCCCTAAACTCCCTTCCCCTTGCACATAACAGATTGTGTACTCCATACCCATGGTTATATGATTGAGAGCATGGATAACTCTGCCTCAAGGTTCGTTTGTGGAAAAGTGCGTTGAGAAAGAAACAAACGAACTGCACAGAAAAAGGCATCAGGAACGGTTTCGGTGTGCCTCATGCTGTCTTCTCTTTTCCACATTTGTTTCACAAAGTGCACCCCTTTAGTTGATCGATTCATGAGCCAAAAATGCGCAATGCAGAGCTGGACAGAGAGACAATGGCCATCTACTTGGAGCTAAAGAAGTCCGAAGCGGAGCTGGCAGCGCTTAGCCGGCAATACATGGAGCATGAAGCCATCCTTACTGACATGAAGAAGGTAGCACCAGCTCGCCATGTCCTCCCTCGATACATACCCACACCCATGCCAGGAAGATTCAACCCAACCTGTCCTCCCTCACGTCTCTTTTCCTCCCCCTCCTCCAGCGTCTTCTCGCTGGCAATGTGCGTGCACACCCAGTGTGCAAGGCCTCCATGTACGTGAAGTTGGTATCGCTGGTAATCGCGGATCAGCATGCCGCGGTGAATATGTACTCGGGCCTTGTACACACCGCCCGTCACACCATATGGGAATTTCTTTTGCCCGAAATCGTCTCTATGATAAACCAATGACTTTGATAGAAGATGACACCAAAACAAACAACAACAAATACATCTTTGATGATTATGAAAACAAACACTTAAAAAAAAAAAAAAAAAAAAAAATTCCATGTTACTTCATGGTGAATATAGTCGGCATGCAGTGTTGGCCCCAAGTGAAATGAAATGTACATGGACGGGCGCAACGTGATATGGACCTTAAAGGCTGGATTAAAGATATACTCAACAGAGGGTCCTGTTGTCGAAAGCTATCATCAGCAAAAGTCGTCCCCAAGACTGCCCGTGGGATTCAGACGCGAAGCTTCTGCAGCTCTGCTCTTCGAGCTCATTCCCCGTGATTTGTTTTACGGTGTGTACAGGTCCAGTGTAATATTCGGAATTCGATAGGGCTCGACTCTTTCTTCGAGCCTAGCGCTGGGACTCTTGACTCTATTCGTGTTTTAATGAAATTATTATGTACCCGTAAAAAATGGTCGGGAAATCCTGCCGTACGTGGACGTACAGATTGTCAAGGAACAGACACTGGAAATGGTAATGACCGGTAACAGGGTGTATAGCAATCGTTTTGGGCATCCTGCGGGTCCCGACCAAGTCGACCTCAATCGGGCCAATTTAGCCGGTTTCAATTTCGTTCAAAAAATACAAAAATGTCCATTTTTACAAAATTGCTGTTCTGGAGACAACCGAAGTTGTGCAGCCGATTCTGTGGGCACAAGTGCAAGGAGCACTTTCCAGGGGCGCAGTGGAAATGCCAGTCTTTTCAAGGGGTACAATCGAAACAGTTACATCATTACGGTAGTATCTCTAAGTTGTTGTGTTGTTGGGGTACCACTCATGCTGAAATAAAAAGAAAAAACGAAAAAAAAGAAAGAGAAGAAAGAATGGTACACAGCATACTTGCAAGCAGACGCCGTCCGGGCAGTTCCGCACGTGCGGCAGACCGCCGGACCGGACCCGCGGGGCGCACGAATGTGCGCCCGACGACCAGTTACGCCCCACCCCAAAAAAATAAAAATAAAAAAAAAAATGGCCCTGTCCAGTCCGGTCAGGGTCCGTCTGGTCCGGGGGGAGGGTGCCGCACGCGGCAAAGCGGACCGGACCGGATGCTCGTCCGGTCCGTCTGCTTGCAAGTATGGTACACAGTACTACACACTTGGGGTACCACTCAATGCACGGAGCCCATGCTGGATGTATCTGGACTTAAAGTGTCGGACCTCCTGGATGTATCTGGACTTAAAATGCTGATGAATGGTACACAGTAGTACACCTATGCAACTGTTGATGAAAAAATAATGAGTTCAAAAACTTCAAATCCTAGTGGAGTCAGATAGATACAAATTCATACAAGAACGTTACGGCCTATATTTCAAAATAAAGAAAACAAGAGGAAAAGAAAGGGACACTCCACACTGCATTGCATGGGGTGAAATCCAAGAAACGAAAGAAAGCCTGATTGACTGATGCTTCCATAGAAGCTTATGGTTTGCTTGTTGTGGTGATTGATTGACTAGATTGATTGATTCATCAGATTGATTGAATGGTTGATTGGTTGATTGGTTGATTGGTTGATTGATTGATTGGTTGATTAGTTGATTGAAAGAAGGCCTGGTTGATTGACGCTTTCATAGAACCTTCTGATTTCTGATTCGCTTGGGTGCTTGCTTGCTTGATTAGATCGAGTTACTGCTTGATCGGTTAATCAGTTGATTGATTGATCTGATTGGTTGATTGAAAGAAAGCTTGATTGATTGATTGATTGATTGATTGATTGATTGATTGATTGAAGCTTCCATAGAACCCTATG